TTGCGAGTGAAACCTTGAAAGCTCGCGAGATCAGGATGGTCTCACGAGGCTAGTAAAAGGCGGCCCCGTCGAGAAAACACACAGCCAGGCAGACAAGCTCTGAGCCAGCTCCCATGTCAGAGGATGAAGAGGCTACTGTGAGAAACAGCAGAGAGAGCAGAATGTTAGAGAATGAACTAACGGATTCTGCAGACTGGGAGCTCACTACATCATGAAGGGTTTCCTTATATACAAGTGTAACACCCGTGCATACCTTTATAATATCAACATTAAAAATGCATGTATTTCAGGAAAAATTAGCAAATTTATATAAAATGTTTTCGCTTCATAACTGTTTGTTGATTGTGTTCATCAGAGGGCTTCCTATGAAGAAGCTGTTATGTCAGGATGCGGTCTGCCCGCCTCAGGCCAAGAAGTCCAAGGTAGAGCCTGAGAGGAAAGGTGATTTTATTTTTTAAATCCCAGTCAGGTTTATTTTGTTTCCCTAACATTTATAAAATGATTTTTCATCTTTTGGCTTTCTCGTTATCTCCTAGTTCTGCTGTATGTGAGGAAGGAGTGCGATGAAGTATTTGATGCCTTAATGCTGCGTGCCCCAACCCTCAAAGCACTGATGGAGGCAGTAAGTATTGTTAAAGGGTTTTTGTTTGAAGTCACATGAAGAGTTGGTCTGGGCCTACTTTTAAAGTTAACATTTGTTTTATCTTTTCCTCCACAGATCTCTGAGAAATACACAGTTCCTGTTGAAAAAATGACTAAAGTTTATCAGAAAAGCAAAAAAGGGTGAGAAGAAGTTCAAACTCTCTCAGCTTTTGTCTTTTCCTGTTCAAACAAAAACACAAATGTAAGCAAAGTTATACAGTTTATATTTATGTACCTTGTTAGAACAAGGGTGGATTTTCTTTCTCCTAGATGATTATAAAGATGTTTAGGGAAAATATAAGTAATGTTATTGTAGAAATAAACTACAGTCATAACAAAGGATTCATATGATTGAGTTTTTTAATGATTTTTTTGTTGATATGATTTTAAGTTGAAAAGTTAATTAAAGCTCCACTGAAATGATTCATCACCATGAAATGGGATTCATGGTTTCTGGTTAAAAGGTTTGATGTTTTAGGTGAGATAGAATATCTATGTAGTAAGGCTATGCTAAAACTAGTTTAAGATTACTAGAATACAATGACCTATGATACTGAAAAAGTTAGGGTAGAAACAGAAATGTTTGCTTGAAAGAAGGCTTTTAAAGTAAAGCCCTGTTTAAGATGAGAACCTTTAAAGTCTAAGGACCCTGTAACACCATGCTGATTTAGCCGACTTATGCCTGGTGTCCCAGAATCTCCTAAAACGCTGGCATATGCTGAACTTTCTATGTATTTTTTCCATTTTCGGTGCATACATAGCGTACTCATAATGAGTCCAGTGACAGCCTAACTTATCCATAATGCACAGCAGCTTAATGAAATGATGAAATGCTTGTGCATCATTTCATGGGCATTACGAAGCATCAGTTAAAGCTGCTCCCCTAGGGATGCACCCGATCTGCATAAAAAGATTTCTTTGTTCGCGGTATTAACCCAGGAGGTGTTTACCGCCCGGCCAAAAAAAAAAATAAAATGAAAAGAAAGAAAGGTTTGCGGTCGCAGCAGATTCAGCGTCATGTCTGCTAGGAAGTTTATTGGTCATGGGCAGGAATGCAGGGAGGATCCATCACACTCACCTTCATGCCACCCTATGGTGGGGATGAAGCCTGGAGGAGAACATACGGTTTCCTCCTGTGAACTCCCCTTTTATATCAAAATGCTGCCAATACGCAATTATACTGTAGCCTAAAAGTTAGAAACACGTTCAGCGGTGGTCTGGATCGTCAAACATGTCAATATGCACTGGAGATAAGTTCTTGATAAGTTACGCATCAGTTATGCACAAGTTACTTAATTGGTTTTGGAAACGCTAGACGCAATGACTTAACTTATACTTAAAGGGGTGATAGAATGATTCTATAGGGTAGTTGGTCCTTAAGGTCTCTGAATAGAGTGTGTAACATTTGTTGGGCTAAAAATAGCATATTTGCTGTTCTATGAGCCCTAATGCAAGCCTAGTTAAAGCCTAGATTGAAACGACAGGTTTTCTTCATTTTATGGTATTAATATTTATATTCATGAATATTTAGATGAGCTGTGCTCTTTTTTTTTTATTTTATTTTTTTTTATATTTTATGAAAAAAAAAAAAAAAAAAAGGATGAGCTGTGCTCTGATTGGTTGGTTTACAATGAGCGAAGTTGCTGAGCAAAGACACATCATAGCAATAAGCACTCACTCACTGAAACATCAGATTGTTGATATGGTAGGGTGACCAGACGTCCTCTTTTTCCCAGACATGACCTACTTTTCATACCTACAAAAATATGCGGGGGGAATTTCAAAATCGTTTGGGATTTTGATCGACTGCAGTGCAGCACGTAGTTGAAACACACTGGGCACTCGGACCGAGCCGTCAGCCTGGTGCTGGTCCGGGAACCCGGGCGAACGGGGGCAGGGAGCCAGCGGGCGACAGGGCGAACAAACCCGACCCAATGGCGGTAGCCTGGACACCAGCTGCCCCACGCTTCCCCCCGCCTGCCTTACCGGCCCCCAGCCCCCTTCCCCGGCTGAGGACAGGTCGGCTCATGGCTCTCTGCTGAGGTCAGGTGCAGTCAGAGGCCCAGCAGCCTCTGTACGTCCATTTCACCCAATGAACTATCTATATTCATCTATGACAATGTAAACTCTGTTTTGCATTCTATGACCCCTTCAATGCATCTCCACGATTAGATAACTTCCCTGTAACTTGGCCCAAGTATAGCATATGCTGCCATACTTCGGGGAATTTTAAGCTCACTCAAAATATTTCAATATACGTTGCCGTATGTCGACATGTGCCAGCGTGTTCCAGCGTGCTTCAGCGTACTTCAGCATGCTCATAAATTATACAAAACATACCCATAACGTATCTAATGTATGCCTGCATTTTTGCCAGATTTTTCGTACAGGCAGGCATACGCTGGTCTAAATGGTCAAGGTGGGACAGGGGCTTTAGAAACAGTTGATTATCATCTGCATACTGTAGTATTCAAAATTCTGACGACGTAAATCGTTCAAAAAATTTTATGAGATAGATAATTGCAACTAAAATTAACATTTACAAGTAGTTTATTTATTCATACATGTTTAGTAACCCTAGCCCAGAGCTTCTGATGATGGACCTATAAGCAAGGTTTAACATTTTTATAGATTTATTGTATCACAAATCAGTCATAGTAACCAATACTACTCAAACTAGAATAAATACTTTTAGGTGCTATTTTTGTAGGTACTAAAAGTTTTGCATTAATAACCAAAAACTTTTGGAGTTCATGATTGATTTGGTTTTATCCTTTGTCTTTGATCGTTGCTCTAAAATGCTGCTAAGATCTCAGACTTCACTTGTTAAGTAACCATGTTGCAATTACTGTTAAGGTAAATTTACTGTTTGTTGTGCTAAGGGATGCAGCCAACTACTGTCAGAGGATGATTAATATCGTGTAATATTACATGTTCAAACACTGTACGGATGAATTTATCAGTACTTGAGGTGTGGCTGATTTCTATAGAATTCAAAGGGATGGAAATGCAGATACATGCTTTTTTATTTTTTAACTGTGGCTATCCTTACCTTTATGCAGCAGCCACTTAGGAAATTTTCAGGACAGAATATCAACTCCTAGGGAATTACTCAGATGACCTGAATGTGAAAATCTGAGTGCAGAGAACAAATAGTGCGCACCAGTAAAACCATGTTTCTTAGAGCCTTTAGATGTTCGTTTATGGTTGTAAGCGTGCTATGTTTTGTTAATTTGACTTAAAATAAGAAAAACAGAGAACTCATTGACATAGTTATTTTTTGTAAAGGTAAAAAATGTAGTTAAAAACAAAATATTTGAAAGATTATGATATTTAAATGCATTCATTCCAAACAGTAAAACATTGTCTGCTTAATATTTAACCCTTTAAAGCCTGATCCAAGAATAAATCAAAACAGAAAATTACTTTTTTTTGGATTGAATTCCTTATTTGGCCTTTTCACAAAATATCTAAAAAGGAAAAACATAAATACATTTTTATTAATAATTTATTACTATGCGATAAGTCAAGATTTTTTTTTTGTGTAGTCTTCTGCCCTCTGTTATCAGGTGTATCTGATTGTGTACAGTAGGATTTTGAGCAAAGTTTTTACCATTAAATTATGCAAAAGGTGTCAGACGCAAAACATTTCAGAAACCGTATGTATCAAATATGATACATTTGGCATTACAGGGTTAATGATATTAGCAGCAAGCAATGCCGTTGCCCTGAACCGTTGCTTCTTAGTCTTTCACACAGCAATCTTTTTTTTTTTTTCTCTCTCTTCTGCAGGGTCCTGGTCAACATGGACGACAACATCGTTCAGCACTTCTCCAATGAGGACACCTTCATCCTGTCTTTTGAGAGCTCAGTGAACTCTTTTCGTGTTACTCTGTCAGAAATCTGACAGCTATTGGCCGTCAGGAGCAACCAGCTACTAGCATTTACTGGATATAACATGTGGTCTATGTTTACAATTGTTTTTAAATGGCTCCTAAAGCTGTTTGCATGTTGTTGTTTTTTAACTCTTAAGTCAGTCCGATTGTAAATCTGGAAATTTTAAAGAAAAAAAAGGTTTTTGCTTTTACATTATTTATGAGATGATGAGCTTATGACATTGCAGATTTATCCATTGCAGATTTTTTTTTTTTTTTAACCATTTAAATGTGATGGAAGGGTGACTTCTGTCATTTTTATATTTGACACAATACTGTAAAGTCTTATTCATCAATCAATAAAGTTTTATACACTGATGTCTGTGTCAATTTTCGATGGAACAGGATCTAAATTGTGTTTTGAGGGACCTTTGAATGGTTTGAAAACTTCATACGATGTTTATCGTATGAAGTTTCGTAACACTTTAACTGATTTGAAATTCTCACCAGAAAGTTGTAAAACTGAGGTTTTTACTGAAAACTATAGTTTTATTAAAAACATTTCACCAGGAAGGTTCTGTAGAGGAGGCTAACCGGTTTGTACCGGTTTGACCCACTTGGTTCTTGGAAGCCACTGATGTGGCCTAGACTAGAGGAATCCTACCATAGTACGGTGGTATGTGTTTGAGCTGATAGGTTATATGTAGATTAAAATAAAAATCACATCAGTAGCTAGATTCTCAATAGAGACAAGGGGACATTTGTTTATACCCCTCCCCAGAGCTGCTGGGGAAACCAACACAAAAACTGGTGTAGTAATCCTGTTTAAACCAGAGAAAGGAGACAAACATAGTTTTAGACACAAAGTAAGGATTACTACAAATGTTCAGGAAATTTAAAAAATAACTGCGTGCTAAAGGGCATCAGATCCAACACCTAATGGGCCCTAGGAACCAGGATAAAGAAACTAAATGTTAAGCACCAAGAGTCTAAAGCAGTTGGTGTGTTCTGTAGCAAAACAAACCTCCACTGTCTGACTGCACTGAATTAAGTGTAAAGTTTTTTTTCGGAGGGTGTGATACTGTGGAACGGCTCTCAATGCGTCGACATATACTGTATCTTGGACTTTTTCCCTTCCCAAAGAGTAAATAAACTGTTTTTAGAAAGACCCTACAAGTCCTAAAATAATTTCAGTTTTCATTCAGTTTATTTCTATTTCACCAATTCACAGCACATGATCTCGAGGCATTTTACAGTTCAGCAGATCATTCAGTCAGATTGATTTAAAGTTTTCTAAGGAAAACCATTTGATTACATCGACTCATTGACTCAAAGGCAATCCCTTATACTAAGCATGCTTGAGAGACACAAAAAGCAACTGTCAACCAGCTGCACATTCGTCCAGGAAACACACAGCCAGGCAGACAAGCTCCGAGCCAGCTCCCATGTCAGAGGATGAAGAGAGCACATCCAGCCAGTCACAGTCAGAGAAACAGGACTATACTGAAAAGCAGGCTAATTTCCAACATGTATTAAACAATATTTCTCTCCAAGATAGTATCACAGCCAAACAGGAACAGATGAGAGAGCATAATTTTAGAGATTAAACTAACAGATTCTGCAAAGCGGGGCAATAAAGATGGAAAGCAGAATGACTGCTCACTAGGCAAAGCAAGAACCATAAAGCTGAGTTAAGATCAGAAGAACTTCAGCTGGCCTTCAGAATCTTGATCGAACCCGACAGAAAACATTTGAAATGAAATGAAGCTCAGACTACAAGCCTGTCCCTCTAGTCCAACATCAGTGTCACACCTCAAAAATGTGCTTTTTGATGAAAAAAAAATTATCCTTAAACCTGTGGAAAACCTTCCAAGGATGTTTTTTTTTTTTAGTTATATGAAAAAAAGGGTAAACATAAACGTGGGCAAATGCCTACAATTGAAACCAGATGCTTCATCCATCAATAAAAAAAGAAACCTGGGCTTGTTTTATTTCAGGGTTTTGCATTAACCAAACCTTTGGTCTGTTGGGTTACAGGAATAAGTGAAAAAAGGGTAGGCTTAAATCTTTCCTTTTTGATAAAGTTTATAGTTAGAGTGACTCAGGTTATCCTAGGCTATCTCTATAGCTATGCTGCTATAGGCTTAGACTTTTGGAGGACATAGGAAGCCCTATTTCGTCATTCTGCTTCATTCTATCTCTATTCTCCTACATTATGCTCTCTCTGCTTTTCTCTGGTAGCTTTGCTTCGTCTTGTTTGGCTGTGACTCCACCCTGGAGAGAAATATCAGCTATGCTGCTGCCATCAGCACCTTTGTTTATAGATGTTCGAGATTAGCCTGTTTTTCAGTGTAGTCCTGTTTCTCTGACTGTGACTGGCTGGATGTGTTTTCTTCATCCTCTGACATGGGAGTTGGCTCGGAGATTGTCAGTTGTCAGTTTTTTGTAACGCTGCTTCTGTCTCCTTGAACCCCAGTCGGCCTCAGCAGATGGCCGCTCACACTGAGCCTGGTTCTGCTGGAGGTTTCTTCCTGTTAAAAGGGAGTTTTTCCTCTCCACTGTTGCTATAAGCATGCTTAGTGTAGGGGATTGCATTCAAGACAATGAGTTGATGCAATCAACTGGTTTTCCTTAGATAGAAAACTTTGACTGTAAGATCTGATGAACTGTGAAGTGTCTTGAGATGATATGTGTTGTGAATTGGCACTATATAAATAAACTGAATTGAATTTAATCTGCTGGACCTGCATCGGATGCTTCGAAGTCTCTTCCCAGAGGGCAGCAGGGAGAACAGTCCATGGTGGGGGGGTCATTTATGATGTTACGGGCTCGGGACACGCAGCGCTGGGATGACATTTTTTTTATGGAGGGAAGAGGAGCCCTGATGATCCTCTGTGCTGTTGTCCACACTCTCCCCCCCCTTTTCCAGTCTGGGGCTCTGCAGCCTTCACACCACACAGTGAGACAGCTGGTCAGAACGCTCTCTATGGTGCTTCTTTAGAAGGTGGTGAGGATCGGAGGGGGCAGGGGGGCTCTTATCATCCTCCGCAGGAAGAACATGCGCTTTTGTGCTTTTTCCATAATCTTTTTTTCTTCTTGGCCAACCTCAAACAGTGAAAGAAGAGCTGCTCTGATTTTATCAAAATATTTAAAGTCCACCTACTGTATGTTCACTTTGTGCATGCTTGGTTCCAGTGCTAAATTAAAACTCGTTTTTTGCATGTGCAGGAAACTGGGAAGTTTTGAAAGTGTTGCCTCTTTCGTTTGAATGAGACAAATTAATTTATCTCTTTTAAAAAATCCCATAAATGGAACAGTGGGATTATTAAGGCCATGTGTCTCAATCCAATCTAATTTACTTTATATTTATAGCACATTTAAATAACATGCAAAGTTCCAAAATGCTGGATAAATTAAGAAAACACACACTTTACAATGAATCCAATATCCTCTGTTGTAAAATAAATAAAGTAAATATGTATGGAGGATCCTAAATGAAAGAATTTGGAAAAGAGACGGAAATGATAAAAGATGATAAATAAATGATAAAAGACTTTCAGCACAGCATTGCTGAAAGTCATTTGCTTTTGGATTTTAAATCCAGGTCAATAAATCCAAGGTTAGCGGCTAAAGGAGGAACATGTTCTTTAACACAGATTATTCAGCAAAACACTCAAGTTCTGTTTTGTTTTCATTAATTAAAGAAGTTTTGAGAAAACCAAACCTTGATGTCTCTAAGACATTGGAGTAAAATCTGTGAGTTCTTAAAGTGAAAACTTAACATAGAGGGAGAATATAAAGTGCCAAAAGTAAAGGTGCTGGATAGAACCCTGAGTGACGCCACAATAAAGGGATGGAGAAGAGGAGGTAGAGATTAGGATTAGGATCCTCTTGTTTCTTTAAAGTCCTGGAAATGCTGTAGAGTTCGCCATGAAGGCTGGTTTTCTCTCTAGAATCTGTTACCCCAGTGGTCTGATGTCAGATAAAAGACTGTGAACGGACAGATAGACGGATGGTAGATTTTCAGTTAAGGAATTATTTATTAATTGCAGTGGTATATTCAATCTAACAACTCAAATTATAGTGGTTTATTTGATGGGCTGCTTTAGCTGTTTATAGCTGTAGGCAGGAAGATTCTCCTGCCACTGGTGGATCTGGAAAAGCCTCTGAAGAGTCTTTTAAAATCATTTTGAGATGATTATTCCTATTCAGGATCAGATGAATGTTTTCCCACCATGCCACAAAGTGGTTCACCAACTCTCTGTACTCAGCTTCTTGTCCATCTTTAAACCACCCAATGTCTGCAGTCATCCCAATATTTCTGCAGATGAAAGGAGTCTGGTACTAGAAGTCAGACGTGTATGGGTTCAAAAGGGATGGAGAGAGTACTGTCCCCTGAGGTGCTCCTTCGCTGCTCCTTTGCTGCTGATAATTTAATTAGACAGCTGACCCTTCAGTCTAACAAACTGTGGTTTGTTTGTCAGGTAATCTTTGATCCAGGCAGTTGCTGATGCATCCACCAGAGGATACTGAAGTTTCTTACAAAGAAAGTCTAAATTGTGTTAAATTTGCTGGAGTAATCAAAGAACATGATCCTCACATTGCTGACCGCCTTGTCCAAATGACAGTGGGTGTGTTGTAGCAGGTGTATGATTGCATCTTCACTTTCCTTGATGGGCCCTTGGATGGTCCCCTAAGATTCCTTCCATTCATTTAAACATCAATGTTGGTACCAAAATATTCTTTCTGTCAATATTTGTGAACATTAAGATCTAAAGAGAAGCTTAATCTCCTGGTCAGACCCTGTAATTCAGTGAAAGGGTGGAGTCAGAGTAAAAAAAATGTGCACGCCCAGGAAAAGGAGGGGGTCGCTCCAGTTGCTGTAAGTGGGCTGGCGTTTGACTGGGAAGGGCCATTTTAAATGGCTGCTACTGTAAATATTTAACATCAATAGCACACTTTTAATGTTCTCATAAAGTACAAAAAATGACCACAGTTTAATTATTTCAGAGCTATTATTATTTCCACCTTTAATACAATCAATAAAACAAACAACTCAACTGGAAGACAATCTAAGATATTTTAGAGAGGAAACCAAACCTCAATCAGGTTTCAAAAACACATAAATTCTCTTATAAATGAGGATGTGGTTTTGGACATTAATAAGCAGATTGAATCTAATTTTAAAC